ATAGGATCCCTAATGTAAGTATTTAAGAAATTTGACTTTATAAAAATGTTACACTTCTCTATGGTAAAACATACTATAATCCAAGGTAGAAAACAAAGCAGGAATGAATACATCATCATGAGTGACAGGCAAAAGGGCTCATCCCCTTAATCCTCAAAGACTTAACCGTATACGAAATACGTGATGAATATAAACCAGCAGTTTGGAGAGAAACACAAGTGGCTTATAAAAGTCTCAACTTCACTCATAACTAGAGAAATGCTAATTAAAACAGTAAGGCATCTTCTTTGTTTTCCCTATCAGATTGGCAGAGATCACTAAGTTTGATCACGCCCAGTGCCAGAGAGAGTGTTGGGAAACACGCTCACTCAGATACCCTTGAGAGTGAAATTGGGGCAACTTTGGGGGAGGGTGATTTGGTAACATCTGTCAAAATCCTTTGCCCCAGAATTCAGCTGCTCAGATTTTTTTTTTTTCAAAATGTTTTTCATATCTATTTATTTATTTTGAGGAGAGAGAGCATGAGCAGGGGAGGGGCAGAGAGAGGGAGAGAGAGAGAATCCCATGCGGGCTCTTGCGTGGAGCCCTACGTAGGGCTCGATCCCACCAACCCAACTGACTGAGCCACCCGGGTGCCCCTCAACTGCTCAGGTTTTCAATCCGCAGATTTCCATTCAGAAACCTTCCAGTTTGGACAAACAAGTGCTCAAGACCTTACTTGCAAACCTTTCCTGGGTTTGCTTCCCAAGGCCTTAGCACAGTGGGTCCCAAATCCACTTTGTGCATCAGAACCACTGGAGGGCTTGTGGGAGACAGGTTGCTGGGCCCCACCGCTATAGTTCCTGACCTAGCGGGTCTGGGGAGAACCCAAGAATCTGTATTTCTAACAAGTTTTGGGTGATGCTGATGCTGCTGGTCTGGGGGCCACCACCCCTTTAGCTTGTTGTGGGGACTCGGGTGGGTAGAGGGATGGGGACCTGGGGGGGGGGGTGAGTTCCTCTGAGGGAAGGAGGATGAAGCAAGGTGGAGAAGACTCCCCAACCTAGGACTGCGTAGAGGAGGAAGTGATGGAGTGAGCTGCCCAGAGAGGGACGTTTGAGCCACCTAAGCAGATAGGACTTTAGTCCTTGTTCCCTGCCTCACAAAGACTTCTCCCATACCCCGCCCCAACTCACCTATTCTCCATAAATCCATAGGGTAAGGAGCATGTTAGCTGTGAGCAGACAACAAGGATTGCGAATCAGAGAGCCAGGCCGCCCTGGACAGGGAAAGGCACCCCCATTCCTCACACAAGCCTTGGAGGTGGTGACGTTGGGGTGGCACACTGGAGGGTATCCCAGCCGAGGGAGGGAGGTAGAAAGTGCTCCTGGGGACTCAGCTGCTTTGATTTGATCTTGAAAAATAACATCTTTTCAACATATGGTGCTGGGAAAACTGGATATTCACATGCAAAAGGGTGACGTTAGACTCGGACCTCACACCATATATAAAAACTAACTCTAAGCGGATCAAAGCCCTAAACTCAAGACCGAATACTATAAAACTCTTAGAAGCCAAACGACACGAAGCTCCTTGCACCTGAGAATCAAGGTAGAGGAAAATTCTTACCCGTCTAAGAAATCTAAACAGCTGAACCTGACCTGAGGGCCCCAGGTATCCCTCACTGGTCAGGAGGCAGACTGACTTCCTGGTGGAAGGCTGAGAACAAGGGCATCCTTTTCACAATCGTTGCACCCCCCACCCTTCTTTTATCAAGGTAAAACAGTGAAGTGAACAAATCTGAAGTGTAGAAGTTGAGTTTTTACATATGTATGTACCTGTCCAACCAGGGCCCAGATCAGGATACAGAACATCTCCAGCATCCTAGATGCCTCTCTTTTTTTTCAAAGTTTATTTATTTTAAAGAGAGAGAGAGAGAGCGCGCGCGTGAGTGCAAGTGGGGGAGGGGCAGAGAGAGAGACAGAGAGACAGAATCCCAAGCAGGCTCTGCACTGTCAGCACAGAGCCCGACGTGGGGCTTGAACCCGCGAACTGTGAGATCATGACCTGAGCCAAAGTCGACACTTAACCAACCGACTGAGCCACCCAGGCGCCCCTGCAGAAGCCTCCCTTATGGCCCTTCCCCATCAATACCCTCTAAGGCAATGTTCTCTATCCCTGTTTAGTTCTACTGCTTAAACGTCATAGAAATAAATGGAATTATAGTTATTGCTCTTTTGTGCTTGGCTTCTTTCAGTCAATATAATATTTGAAAGACTCACCCTGTCTTCTCATGGGGTGAGCGTTTGTTCTTTTTCATTGCTGTGTAACATTCCATTGCAAGATAAATCGCAGTTTGTTTCCATTCATCCATTGGACACCTGGGTTTGTTTCCAGTTCTAGGTTGTTAGGGATAAAGTTGCTATACAATTTTTGTAAGCGTCTTTTGGTGGACATAAGCACTTTGTTTCCCTCCTGGGTATACACTGAGAAATGGAGTTGGAGGATTGTAGACCTTACCTATGCTCAGCCGATTTTCGTACCGCACGATTTTACTGCCACACGATTTTCCAAAGTCATTGCATAAATTCACCCTCCCACCCCAAATGCATGATAGGTCTGCCTCATTCATGACAGATCTTGGCATTATTCTTTTTTTTAATTTTTCTGATGGGACCATTCCTTTATAACTTTGAAAAATATGTATTTAAAACTAGTAATAATTTTTTTATGTACCTAAAATGGGTGGTCCAGGGATGCTGAATGTTTGAGAAAATTTTTGGACTCAGTTGTTGTTAAGTATTCAGAAATTCCCCGAGGATGTGTGGGTGTGTTTCTGCCTATGTATGTGCCACAGTCACAGACGATTTGCTCCAGACCCCACCCTCCTTGCCTTGGAACAGACCCTGCACTTCCCCGTGAACAGGAAGAGCTTAGTTGGGATCCCAGAGGGAGATGTTTCCCATCACCAACAACATCTGGGGAACATCTGGAGAGCCCATCCCAGGACAGGGAGACACTTTGCTGGAGAAAACACATCACTTATTGGATTATTTTTGTTTTCCTATATTTTCTCTTATTCTCTTCCTTTCCTGCCCCCCCCCCCCCCAAGCCCCATTACCCACTGGGTCCCCTGCTCTAAGTCCCCACTCCAGCCCTTGCCAACTCCCTGCCCTGGCCTCTGTCTCATCTGGTTTCTGTTATGCCCAGAATTCGTGATCCCCAAAGACCACCAGGGAGCCGAGTCCGATGCAAAAGCAAAGAGCCTTTATTCGAGCTAGCTCGAGCTCAATCCCCTACCTGCACCGACGCAGCGGTGAGATACCAGGGAAAGAGAGCGAGTTTCAAAAGGACAAAGGTTTTATTGGGGCCTGGGGCAGTTGGTGAGGTAATGGCTATGGCCTCAACCGATTGGCTGGGGAAGGGTCCTGGGGAAGGGTCCGAGTCCTGTTAGGCAGGTGAGGGGGGGGTTACTCAAGGGGAGGAGGTGTGGTCAAGGTGAAGGACACAGAACAAGATGGAGTCGGCTGGCGTAGGCCCGCCCTTTCAGTTTCCCCAATACACAGCCCAGCAGGATGCAAACCTGGGCAGCCTGAGAGACCCCCTATTAACTCCAGTGTTCAATCCTGCCCAGTTGATCAGCAGGCAGCGTCTTCTAGAAAATTAACTCAAGGAATGTTGAAGCTGGTGCAGTTCTCTGGTCCAATGCCTCCATTTTACAAGTTGGAAGACTGAAGTTAAGAGAGAGAGGGAGAGAAAGAGAGAGAGAGAGAGAGAGAACTAGAACTCCACTCCACTGTAGGTCATCATAGAAACCCCCTTTTCGCCTGGGGACCTGACCAAGGGAAGGGATTAGAGGCAGGAAGGAGGCGGCAGTGGAAAAAAGGATTCTTTGGAACCAAAAAGGTCTGCAACCAGCAGCCACAGGGAGGACAGGGCTGACTGTCTGAGGGGGTGGTGGTGGGTGGGTGGCCACCTGCCATCATACCCTAAGGGCTGAGTCACCTCTAACAACTGACACCCAGCTCTGTAGCCTTTAAACTCCCTCCTGAGCTGTCTCAGCCACACCCATGGCTTCCTTACACCGCTGTATGCTGATGACCCTTCTGTCTCCACTTCCAGCCCAGCACTCCCCTGGAGCGCCAAGTGCACGTTTACTAGGTAAACTTAATTTATTCAGCTGGTTCTTACCGAGCACCGAGCACTGAGGAGAGTGAGACACAGCCCCTGCCCTCCCACGACTCCTAGAAAACACAAGGAAACCCACAAGTAAAACACAACTGAGTGCAAGGTAAAGGGCAGGCTGGAGAGGAGCATCTTTGGAAGTCTGAATCAGGATGAGGAGGACACAGACCAAAAACTGATCACTGACAACCTGGGCTGGAGTGATTATCGAGAGTGTGGGTGGGAGCGCAGGCATAAGGCTGGGAGAAGCTTAAGGAGACTTAGAACAGAACACCTCCTGTGTAAATTAAAACTACACGCATCCGTACCAATGTCACGTGTAGAATGTGTAAAAGGCCACGTACACAGATTAGAGATGCTGAAATGGAGGAGCAGGGAAGGGAGTGGGGGGTGGGACCACGGAGAGAGAGAGGCCAGGCTGCAAAGGTGGGCACGGGCCAGGTTATCTGGCCTTTGTAGGCCCCACAGAGTTGCGACTTCATCTTGAGGACACTGGGAAGCCACTGGAAGCTTGGTGCCAGCGGTCCAGATACCTAGCGCACACAGGCGCACACTCAATGCATGCAGGAAGGACGAGGGCTGTAGGAAGCTTCCTTCAATCTGCTTTCATCCCAGTTTTCTTCCCTGGAAAGGTACAGGGCAGGTAGACCCCTTCTGGCCCGCTCTACATAAGCACCTGTGGCTCAAGAAGGGCCTTCGCCATCATCTCCACCCCAGAGCCGTCCAGGCAGGAGAGGTCACCCCCACCCCCCACCTGGAGGAAGGTAGAAAGGAATCCCGAGGGTTGGGCTAGTCAGAGACAGCATTCATCTAGGACAGTCGGAGAAAAACCCAGAATGCAGCGGGAGCGGGACTGGAAAGGGGGAGGGTCAAGCTCCCACGAAGGCTCCCTGGAGGAGGCAGTGCAAGCCGAGACCTTAAAGGCGATGAGATTCTGGTAAGCGGCGGCGAGAAGGCCGAAAGGCATTCCAGGCGGGAGGAACGCCCTGTAGCAAAGGTGTGAAGGTAGAAAAACGCTCAAGGGACACGGGTGGTGGGTAAGGTTTGAACTGAGGTTGGGAAGAAGGGCAGAGGATGGTCTCCCGGCCAGGACTCGCTGCGGGGGCATGCACACACTTCTCCCTGTGCAGTG